ATTGTTATCGGGATGATAGCATTCTTATATCGGGATATGAGATTTTGGTCATATCGCACAGCCTAAGCTGGAATACCCAGAAGGAACCAGTGCAAACTCCACACAGAAGGAGCCCAACCAGGGTTCAAAGTTCAAGGCACCTCAGTACCAACTGAGGAAAAACGGCCTTAAATGGAGCGTTTAGAGCAGCATGACCTTTAAAGGCGTCCACACAGTGGAATAACTTAATGATGCAAGGCAGCGAGGTCTCATTTAACATTTGCCCAGGAACCGTTAAAAAACAAACTGGTGTTTGCTCACACAGAGGGCAAAAAACCCTGCAATTTTAAAAATCAAAAACAACCAGCAAAAAAAATGAGCTGGCTTCGGCCTCTACTTGATGCTTTGATGTTGGTGCTTTTGCTGCTCCAGCCGAGCAACTGGCAGGTCAGTGCTTTGCTCAAGGGCAAAGGGCTCAGATGCTGCAGAAGCGGTTTATTTGGGTCTCCCACAAAGAATCAGCTTTTGCTTACTTGCGCTTCATTTGTAAGTTGTCTTTTGTGTGTTTGTTCAGCGTCATCAGCCCAATCGACGGGAAGTCCATGGAGTCCATACCCAGTGTCAAGATCTTCCACGGCTCCGAGTTCAGAGCAAACGGCAAAGTCATCCGCTGGACCGAGGTACAGTCTGCTCATTTTACCGAGCGCCAGTGAGGAAATCAGGCCACCACTGAAGCCTCTCAGGACAGACAGCTTAAACTGTTTTAACCTTCATCCCGCGAGGCTGCAGCTCCATTAACTCGGGCTAAAGTAAACTCTGATGACACACGCCAGCACGCCATGATAATTTCTCCTCATATACAGTAGGAAGATGAGAGGATTTAACATATTGTGTTAATACAAGTTCAAAGATTGTTTTATTTAGAGAAAAAGTTGAGTGCAGCTTTAAGACCCTGTTTTTGTGCTCAGGAGGTTGGAGAAAAAAAAAAGAGGTCAGTTTATCTCAAAAAGTCTTAGTCACCTTCCTCTGCTGTTCTAACCCAATCTCCTCATTATCACATATTACAAACAACCCCAAAAAATATATGTATCTGTTTTCAAGTCTGCAGGTCTTATTATAAAGTTGTTTTTCTGTGCTGCTCTCAGGTGTTCTTCCTCCAGAGCGAAGACCAAACCAGTGTTCTGAGCGACCCGGCCGACCACAGCCGCCTCACGGAGAACGTGGCGAGAGCATTCTGTATGGCTCTGTGTCCACACCTGAAGCTGCTGAAGGAGGACGGCATGGCCAAACTGGGACTGAGGGTCACTCTGGACTCTGACCAGGTTAGGACTCTGAGAAGGTTTGTTTTATAGATGTAGACCCTGATGTGTAAACGGACCTTTGCATCAACAACGGAACGAATCCTTCCAAGGCTGAACCCTGCCACAGTCCACATTATTTTTCAAACTCTTCATAAATCTGCAGAAAACCATCAGAAATCTGCCCGATGTGCCAGTTTACACTAGATCTTTGGTATGACTTCACCCTTTCATTCTCCGCAGGTGGGTTATCTGGTCGGAAGCAACGGCCAGCCTCTCCTGCCTCAGTACCTGAGCGACCTGGACAGCGCTCTGATCCCCGTCATTCACGGCGGGGCGTGTCAACTGAGCGAGGGCCCGGTGGTCATGGAGCTGATCTTCTACATCCTGGAGATCATCTCTTAGGAACTTCAGACATCCCACCAACCTGCACCCCTTCTCACCTCCAAACTTCTTCTTCTTCTTTTTTTCTGACATCATCTCCCTTCGGCCGTTTGCACTTCAAAAGAGCCCGAAAACTGTGCCGTGCCCGGCAGGGTAGCATTCCTCAAGCCAAACCTATGCATCCACCCACGGTCTGAGGAAGCTCTGAATAGGATCACCTGTCACCTCAGTCAGGATGTCTCCACAGATCACACTGTGTCCGTCCTGATACCCACACTTTTGCTGCCTCTGAGAAGCTGCCACGCAACGAGCGTCAGGCGGCCGATATTGTGCAGTTTGTCCTCAGATAGCGAACGCATCCAGGAAGGGATGAAGGCACTAAGTAAAATTTTCTTATCTCATTCGGAGTTTAAGTAAGAAGAGTGTTTATTACAATGAAAGGGTCACAGGGTGTTTAGCCTTGTTATAAATTAGTAAACCAGTGCCATTAGAATCGTGTCTGTGAACCTAAAAGCTGAGTGTGATGAATTGTGGGATTTATTAAGCCTCTCAACTTTTCTCTTAAATGCAGCTTTAGCTTCATGGTTTTAGACAAATGAGTGAATTATGAAATGAGTAAAACCAGGGTGTGTGTGTGAATAGGATGATGAATTATTCTGTCTATTATCAGAGGAGCTGTAGAATTAACAATCTGCAGAGCTGCAGAGTTTTTAAGGAGAAAGCACTCTCTCCTTTCTACCAGACACAAACCCGTAGTGATCAGTGACGTCTTTGTAATGGCAGCTGTCCTCACAGGTCAGGACACCCTGAGCTCTCGTGCATTTTGACAAAGAGGCAGATTATTCCCTAAAGGTCGCCTTAACACTGTGAGAGTAAAGCTGAAACGGCCATGGCTGCACAAATACAAACGAATCAACCAGAAGTAGTGACTAAATTACGAGCAGAACTGTGACAGATAGGACCTCTCCTGCAGTGACACACAGCCTTCAATCAATCAAATGCTATGAGAGAATGGAGGATAATACAGCCTTTAATACCAATTGAAAGAGCCACGAGTTTTGGTTAAACCTGCTGCAATTCTGCCCTTTGGTACATAAAGCAGCACTCCAGAGCTCAAAATATCAGTTGGGGCCAAATAGTTAATTTTGGTCTCTAAACACAAAAGAAATCAAATAAACTACAACAGCGGTTCCATCTTATAATCTAACCTGCAGATATGTTTTGACCCGTTAGACTTAACACTATTTTATTAAAATCTGCTAGTTATGAGCTGGTCATCATATGTGAATCACATTGCGATGCATGACATGACACTGGTGATTGAGCACAAAAAGTCACCAGGAAGGTGTTTGCTGAGGTCGCGAAGAATGAGCCAAGAGCCAAGCAAGTTTTTTTTATTTGTTACAGCCACAGGACTCGCCCCCTAGTGGCCATTACAAAAAATGCACCTGCACAGCGACGGAAACTACATTCATGGCTCCTGCTCGGATGCTCCTTAAGTGTGGGTATTGGGACTGACCTCCTGCTTCCTGATCGCACATCACTGTGGCAGCCGGAGGTCCTGAAGCATTGAATTCTGGGTAAAACCTGCCTCTGTGTAGCACGGATGCTGGTGCAAGGGAGAGTCATATCCGTTACTGAAAAGTTTGGACTATTTCTGTTTCAAAACAGTATTAATCATCGTGGAAGGAGGTGGTGATTACTTTCCCTTTTTTTTTTTTCTTGCACCGTGGTGCTCAGTGCCTGCAGTAGTGTTTCATCAAGGGAGAAAAGGAAAATGAAAACCATTTCAGATTCACTTAAGCTTTACTCATCAGTCACCAGATGCTTTACTTCACTCGTTGTACATACTTTTGTAGGCAGGACGATTTCTCCTTGATCACACCTGAAACATCTGTAGCCTCCAGAGATCCCAGTATTATCGTTCAGACAGCTGATTTAAATAAAGGTTCTGATGCTTTATCAATAATCAATCTGTACATAAATGTGCGAAGGGGGGGAGAGTCAGGTTTTAATCTCATCAGTCATTCAGTGTTGGTTCAGCAGAGGTCGAAAAAAATCTTCACCTCATTTTTGTCTTTTTAATCATAACGAGAATAACTGATAAATATAATATTATTATATATAAATAAACTGTATTAACTTGCAGATGCAGTGCACTGGATTTAAGCCATTTACAGGAGAGTTTAAAGTGAGCATCAGGGTGTCCTGGAAGTAAGAGGTCAGTATTTGTCGAGACTTAAATGACCCGAAGCTGAATGTATCTCATCTCAAGTTGTCTGCATCCTTCCAAACCTCGAAGTCAAGACTTCTCTAAATACCCTGAACCTCTGAGGTGTTTTCTAAAATCAGGCACGTTGGAGGTTCACCGCCTGATCTGGACTCTGCTCTCCTTCAACAACATGGACCTGGACAAGAAGTCTAAGAATGTATTCCTCATGTTTCTGTTTAAATCTGTAAAATGTGCTCTTGTTTCTGACGAGACTGATCACAAAAAACGAAAAAAAACAAAACAACCCACCCTGCTGTGTTTAAAAAGCTCTGTACAGTAACCATTCTGCATTATGCTAATTTCTCCATCGTTAATTGTGCTGATGTAAAACAATCTCGAGTGAGAATCAGACAATCAGAGGAAAATCTGCAGAAGAGCCGACGCTTGAAGTTTAAATCTGACCTGTAGCCGCTCTGCATTCATTTATTAATCAGAATCTTTTAGGAGCTACTGTAGCAAAGTAACGTTTAGTTTAAAAGGAAAAAAAAAAGGTCAAAGTTCACCACTTCTGGGTTATTTTACTGTGATCATACCAGAAGCAGTGTGGGTCAATCACTGTGTTTCTTTAAAAAAATTAAATAAATTAGCATAATGAAAAGGGGGGCACGAGGATCTATTTTTCTGACTCGCTCTTTTGTTACTGTTTAATTCTTTTTTTCCTTTTTGCATTATCTGAAGTGTGCAATATGCCCGAAATCCAAAAAAAGAAGAAAAAAAGGTGCAATTTGTTTGAAAAAGTAGCATTTGTTTTGTATTCAGTTGTAAGATGTTACTGTTTAAACCTATAACACTGCATGCAAACAGAAATGAGCCGGAAAAGGCGACTGGAGCGAGTCAACTTTGCATTTCAACAGTCAGAAAATTCTCCACAAAAATATGAACTTGTTCAGTTCTTTATTATTATTTTTTAATAAATCAGTTTGAAAAGCCAAAAAGCCTGTTCATCTTTCCCCCTCCTTTGTCAAAAATACTGTAGTATATGTAAAATAAAAACTTATAGAAAATTGAGACGAGTATTTGTTATTTACTTTTTTTTATGTTTGAAAAAACTTGACAGTACACATTTAAAACAGGAATTTTTTTTATTGGTTCGTTTTAGAGCAGATTCAGTCAAAAATCAAAGAACTGATTCTGTTAATTATGAAGCATTTTAGAAACACATGATCTGTGTGAACATCTATATGGTAAAAACTAAAACATTTTAATGGCTTCCACACAGGAAGCGATGACAGGCGACATAACGGTTGGTGAGGGCAAAGTGGGCGTATCCCGAGATGAGCTTTACTCAACTTCAATCAATTTCGGCCAATAAGAGCACAAGATACCGTTAATTGACATATCACAGTGCGGTAACTGCATTAGAGGGTTACCTAGGCAACCAGGGTCTAGAAAGTCCACTAGCGACGAACCTTTTAGCTTCAAGGCTACGCGTGATGAGTGACATCGCTTCCTGCGTGGACCCAGCTTCAGTATTTTGATCAGTGTTACTGTAAACTGAACTTTTTTCCTTTATACTAAAAATTAGGCGCAGATTTAAAAAAAAAGAAAATTAGAAGAAGCGGAAACTGAAATGTGTGACCATGGTAATAATAATAATGATGATGATGATAATAATGACGCAGACAGTCTGAGGTACACCTGCTTGAGGTGGGATTTACGTCGTTGGCTCAGTTAAACTTGTATGGCTTCTTCTGCGGTTCATTTTTTAAAGGGTTAGTTCACTCAGTACTAGTGGAAGCATTCGTTTTCTTGCCTCACTTGAATCGACATTAACCTAATGAATTTAAGGCTGTCCATTTACCCACTTATGTACTACATGCAGAGAGTTTGCTACAGCTCTTGGCACATTTCAGACACTACATGGATGTAACACAGCAACTGCACAGAAGTCTCTTTAGCTGCAAAATACTCCAAAACAAGGTTGCAAAGTAGAAACAAAGAGCTGGAAGACGCTGCAGAGTCATGTGAAACGACTCCGTTTCAGTCATTTGAGGCATTTTAAGGCAGCTGGGAAAGACTCCGCTTAGAGCTTTATCTTAACTCGAACTCACCATGGCAATTCAATCAGTCAACTGTTTCTGAATGACATGTGAAAAAGTGCTTGGCTTGACGTGGTTTGGTAATTTGAGTGAACTGACCCTTTATTAAAACACTGAGAGGTTTCACTCCCAATATTCAGTTTCTCTCACATGAGATGGTCCATAGATTTCAATAGTGACAAACATTCCTGTTGAGACTCTATGACAGCACATGAGGGCCATTTTAAATAAACAATGGAGCCAAATTTCCGACTTACTCTTTGAAACATTGCTCGACTTTGCAAGGCTGGTTTAACCTCATCGCACTGTACATAAATATGTGATTCGATTGGTGTTTGTTGAATAACAATGACGTTACAGAAACTGACATAATCTTGAAAACTAAAGTGAAAAAAAATTCCACCCCTTAAAATTCAAAATGTATTACATTTTTCCCTGTGAACTCCAAACTTTAAAGTGGAGCTAGTGGTTTATCTTTATTCCTGTTTTATATATATGCTAGCCAAACTTTCAAATAATCAGGGCAGTATACCTAAAACACAGAAACTTGAAGCTGGTGTATGCAAGGGGCAGCCAATCAGAAGGAAACAGACTTAATAAAGGGGGAGGAGCTAAAACAGCTTGTTTCAGACAGAATCAACTGGTGGGCGACACCTAAATAAATTATTCAGGAATTATTGTGAACTGTGGATTATGAAAAACCACCCAGAATGGCCCCCATATGCTGTCAAAAGAATAAAACCAGAAGACTAGAGCTGCTTTTGCTTCAGGTTAGGTTAGCTGAGCATAATGACTGAGACGGCCAGTGGTGAGTCTTTTTAAAGGTCCTAAACTCCTTCTACAAAATGAGTGGGTAGAAATAAATATAAAATGTGTTCATCTGTGACCTTGAAAAACTAGTAGTTGTATTTTTAAACAGGATTCAATTTGCAGCCCCCTTCCAGTTTTATGCAAAGCTAGGCTAAGCTTAGAGTTTCCTGGCATTTAAATCTTCTTTCTTTCTGTTCCTTTACACGATGCTTTTTAAAGATGATCCTGTGTACTCTCCTCCTCACACGTGACATTATTCGTCTCCAGTTTTTGTGCTATTCAGTGTAAACAAGTCAAATGCACCTAAAACGGCAGGCAGGTGAGTGTGCAGTTTAGTGACCACAATTAGAGGACTTGCAGCGCATGCGAAATGTGTGGTCTCTAAAATAACGATCGTACCTTGTGTAATCTGGTGATTTCTTGGCTTACTTTCCTGTTAAATAAACATGAGGTGGCTACTGCAATATCTGCCTGACGTTTTCACACCGAAGTCTGTAACAGACTGTAACTGAGCGGAAAATGTACTGAAAACTCCCGACAGCCCAGGCTGTAATTATATAATTTCAATGTATATATCGTAACAGATTTGGCAGCTAAAGGCGGCTTTCAAATACGCAGGATTTTACAGCAACTGTGATTACTTTGGTATTAGTGCATAGGTGCAGTTCTAGATACCACAAGGACTATTTACACATTCTTTGATATATTAACTAAAAATTACGTCAGGCAGCAGGATCAGCTTAACTCGACACCGGTCCCCTTTGTCACTCGCAAAGGACACCATGTCGGACCCACACATCAGGAAACAGTTTAGGCAGCTGTGATCTTTGCCTGAGTGTTTTTCAATCTCAAAGAGAGGCCCTCATCGCCTTCCGGTGGAGGCAGACACAAGGTTCACGTCTCCATAAGGCAGCTCCGTGTCTCCTGCTGAGTGAAGGGGAGCGTGTGTGTCGTGCAAATGTGCAAAAGATACTACAAGACCCGTGTAGGTCTGAGTCCAAACTGAACAACAGACCGTCTTCAGAACTTCCCAAACCACCTTCATCATCTCCTCCTCTTCTCCCTCTGAGTGTTTTTGATTGAGTTCCTTACATCTGCAGGGCAAAGACATCTCCAGTATCAGTCAAGGAGGAATTAAACGTAGATGCACTGCAGACATTAACTTTTCTAGCCATAACCTAAAAATCTTGGATGAGTTTGAATCCTGGTGACCTTGAGCTCAAAGTCAAGATTGGAGGTCAAGTGTTCTGAAAATCTTGTAAACGCAATAATTCAATGTAATGTAGGATTCTGGGACTGATCCAGTGGCTGTGTCTACTTTGAGGCTGAGGGGTTGCCAATTTAGCTTTTTTTGTTCCCCCCCCCCTATTAGTAGCATTGAGCAACAATATTATAGGATATATCATAATTTCAGCAGCAAAACTATACAACCTAATGTCTGAGAAACATTGGTACTCTGGATGTTGGATCTTTTTCCTTCTAATTCACTGGATCAAACCTGAAAAAGTGTGTTGTACATTTTAAGGCATCCATCTGGGACAGGTGACCAAAAGAAATCAAAGCATCTAAAAAGTCTCTTCACCTACATTGTGATGGCAGGCTCATCTTCTAGCTATGATTGTGAATGTAAACCGTATAATTACCTTCTTCTTGCACTTCATCTTCAGTCTTGCAGTAACATCTAAACAAGAACCTACCAAAAAAGAAAGGACAGGTAAAGCTCTGAGAACATTTTACAAAACCACACACACCTGGCTACCAACATAACCTTGTGTGTCCATAATTTTATAAAATATGGAACAAAACAAAAAAAAACCCTTAACAACAAATTAGTAAAATTAACTAAACAAGCAGAAAAAAGGCAAATAAACTATAAAAGCAAGCAAATTAAAGAAAGCCATTCTAAGTAAAGCTGAAGTCATTGAGGGATCATATCAATACGAGCTTTCAATCTTATATGTTACCTGCGACTGGTCAATCACCAGCCAGCGCTCCGTGCTGGTCTGCATGTCCTGACCGCTAAGAGGCTCCCGCAGTCTGACCTTCACTTCAATGCGACCCCCTGTGGGTTTCCGTCCGTCCATCACCTGGCACACGAAACACCGTGATCACATCTTAACCCTCTCAGACAAACGGCCTCCTGATTTCTGTCTTAACGAATTAACTTAAACACCACAGATCAATTTCCTTATCCTTTCAAACTGAATGTCATTCACCTCGACAATCTCCCTGATTTCACTGTGTGACTCCAGCTTGTCCAGCTTCAGCAGGGCTGTTCCGATCGGCTTGTCGCTCCGTAAGAAACCGCTGTGAGACGACAGACACGGTTACACTGATGAGCCACAGCTAAGGACAGCGTGTGTGAAATAAAAAAAATCAAGGTTTAACCTCTAAACATCTACCAAGTCATTGGCAACCCATTCAACATCCACTGAAATAGAAAACCTCTCTATAGAAAAACTGTGATGCCAAAATAAACAAGACATCATTTAACATGTAGGATCATCTGGTTTCTGAACATCTGCTCATTCAGCATGTGTGTCATTTTTATTCTCTCTGTTAATCTGCACTTCTTCCTTCTAAAAACTACCCTGATCTTAAGCCCACACAGCAAACACCAGCAGAGCCGGCTGACACATTTATATAATTACACTGTGATAAGAAACTAAACCTGAAGACTCTCATCAGAGATCGGTATATGCGTTCCCACTTTCAGATCTTCTTTTTTGCAGCATATTGAAACATCACCAGTAATCCCTCACAGTAAACACCCACTAGCACGACTGATTTGACTAATTTCTCACATTTATCTGAAATAAACAGGTACAATTACAGCCCTTCTTGTGTCAAAGTCCCATTGTTGTAACATGCTAATGACTAAAGAGCCAGCAGCTGCTCGAAAAGTTCTCACAGCACATTTTAAATACTCACTACGTGTCGCATGCTGTCCGACCAGCAGCTCCTGGGACTCACCCTTTGTGCAGCAGCTCTAGCTTGAGGCCTTTAGCTGTCACCACCCTCCTGAAGCCGCGATGGTTGCGGCTGATTTGAAGCTTGAAACTCTGGTTGTATTCTGACAAAAAGAGACAACAAAAAAAGTCACCATCGCTCAGCTAAATGAAGCAGTTTAGAGGACAACAAATAAAGCCAACATGGAAATATTAGGGAATTCTACCCAACTCCTTAAGAGAGTTTTTAAAAAGTACCACAACTTTAAAACCAAAATGATCTCGCATGAAAATGAACCTAAAATAAGGCTCGGTTTGTTTTGAACAGCAAAAATGCTTGTGTCCTTAAAAAAAAAAAGAAAAAGAAACATTTATACACCCTGGAACTAGAAAAGAAAATCCCACAACTAAAGCACACCTGAAGCAAGAGTCATGTCTCACCTGGGGAGTTAGTGTTCTTGATGACAGCTGTTTTGAGTTTCTGTGGCTGCTCCTGGTGGCAGCAAAACAGCAGATGAAACTTAAGCAAAAAACACTCACTGGTGTTAATTTTTAAAAAGGCGGATTTTCAGGCTCTTACCGTGCTGGGATAGGGGAACTCAAACTTGACGTAAGCATCCAGATCGTTTGCTTGGATTCCTGCAGGAGGAAGAAAAGCAAAAAGCATGAAACTTTTGTTTTACCCACTTTGAGGTGTTACCTTCGACTCGATTTATGGAAAATCAGTCTGAGTAACTGATTCAAGATCACTGGTTTGTTCTATGAGTTGAATTCCCCGTTTATCCCTGTTCATCCTCCTGTTTTATTGCTGATATGAATATTTTTAAATTCTGAATAAACACGTCCTTGGGGGGGAAAACAAAAAACAGGAAAAACTGATAAATGCAGATTTTTACCGCTAGGAGCAGGAAGATTCATCCCTTTTACGATAATAACAACCATGTCAGTGCTGCTCAGCTCTGGAAATATCCTGAAAACAACAACAGGAAAAAAAGCAGGGAGAAAGTTGAGTGATTTATTGTGTCTGCTTCAAGTGTAAACACTAAGAAAACTGCACCAGTCACTCAGTGAAATTATGTTGTATACACTTTTAGAAACATATAGAAAACTGCTTTTCTCTAAAATTTGTTTAGTGCAAGCAAAAGATGAAGGCATGTATGAAATTATTTACTGCCCCTTTAATATATGAACCGTCTATTAAAATAAATGAAAGCAGATTATTTGCTAACTTTATAACTAATGAATAACTCAGCAGGAGTAAAGAATTGATGGCAAATGTTCCCACTTGGCTATGCGAAATGACTTCTCCTCGAAATGATGTTTAGGAGGAGGCAGACCCCTCGACTGAGCCAACTTCAAGACTTCCATACTCTTCTTACAGCTTTCAGCCATTTTCTCAAACCTAAAAAAAACATGAAAAAAAGGAATAAAACCTTTTCATGTTTCATGTCATCAACCATTCAACAATTAATTTAGAGTTTAAATGTAAATCTCTGTAGGTGACGAGGAAGCTTACTTTGTTGTTTCAGTGACGTTTCCCAGGTGTTTGAACTGCTCGGAGTAAGTTAAACATTTCTAAATAAAGGAAGAAAGCCAGGAGAAAGGGTCACAGAGGGTCACAGTTTGGAGAAATCAGAGGCAGAAAATCTGTTTCTGGAAGCAGAAATTATTCATGAACAAACATCAGAGAGCTGAAAAGTTTCTTCTGAGGGGAAATCTTGTTAATAGTTTAAAGGCATAAACACATTTATTTAAAATCACAAATAATCTGTAGAATTTGGCCGAAGAAAATTTTAATTCCGTTAAATTTCAAAAAGAACTTTTTATAAAGACTCTGCTGCGGTTTTACCTCGTGCTGCTCTTTCAGGATCTTGGCCAGCTGCGTGTAAACTTCCTCGGCTTTCTCTGAGATCTGCACGTCGCTGTGGTGAACCAGGATGAAGTCTTCGTCTTCGTCACCAGGAGGCGACGGCACCTGCAGGCAGAGAGAGAGAGAGAGAGCATTTTTAGCCTGTGTTGCAGACACTCAACACAACACATCAGTGTGGGTGAGATTTCTCTATAGTCTCATCTCAGCAGCTTAATTTCAACCATACACTGTTCATAACACTTTACACCACATGTGTGCAGAGACACATTAATGTCACCCGACATTTCCTTTCTTTGTTTTGTTTTTTTGCCACATTTTATTTAGTAGGCCATCTTTTAAATAAAATTAATTCTTTTATTCTCTCTATATTTTACTAAGATATATTTTTAAACAGCATGTTTAGCATCACTTGATAGCCTTGTTTTTTTATTTGGTTTATATATTTGTTTATTGACCTACTTTATTTTTGTTTATTTGAGCTCTTGAGCTATTTTTTTTCTGTTTTACTTTATTATTATTGCTTTAGTTTGTTATTAGTTGTGTTTATAATTGCTGTAACAGTAAATTTTCCAAAGGAACTTGGAAAGAAAAGCGTCTTGACTTCTTTAAATTCCTTGAAGACGTTTCACCTCTCATCCGAGAAGCTTCTTCAGTTCTAAGAGTAACTGGTGGAGAGTCCCAGATTTTAAGCCCTATGGGAATGTCCCCCAAGAGGGTCATGGATCCCCTATTGATCCTCTACCTAATCACACGAGCCAAGCTTAAAATCTCGGACTCTCCACCAGTTGCTCTTAGAACTGAAGAAGCTTCTCGGATGAGAGGTGAAACGTCTTCAAGGAAACTTAAAGATGTCAAGACGCTTTTCTTTCCAAGCTCCTTAGTCTACAATGAACTGGATGACTGAGAACCTTCACAGACAAATTTTCCAAACTTTAGTGATAAATAACATTTCTTATTTTATCTTAAATCGGATCATTTAAACAAACTGCTGATAACCCTCTTCTCTCCTGTGCGTGCGTATAATTTAACTGTACTGGCCAAAAACTTGTTTTGGGAGTCAGATTTAAATATCTAAAGCCTTCTAAAGCCTGTCATATAACATGCAAGTTTTTAGAAACAAATTGTTGTCTTGTGTTTTGCAGCTTCAACCGAATTCTTACATAAAACACAATGAAATTTCAACAACAAACATCAACGTAACTCCATCAAGGCACATTCAGAACTAACTTTCTCACTTAGTCATTTTATCTAACTTTAAATTGTGTTTCTCAAAAAATAATCTGAATCAGGCTGATCTTACTGAGCACCTAAGGACCATTTTCATCACAGCTGCCGTTTTTAGATCTTTTCCTGGAAGTCAGGTTTTTTAATAGCAAAGGCAGCACTGAAGATGAAGAGCAAGACAGGAAACATGCTCTTCATTTCTTTCTCCAACTTATCAACATTGATCAGGTTTTGCACTGAGGAATGGTGCCCCAGTGTGAGACTGTCCACACAAGCAACATCCTGCGGTGTCTAAGGGGGGGTATTAGGCAGAAACATCTGGACTGTGGTGAAAGCCAGCACAGTATCACCAGATGCCAACGCAGTATTTCCTGACCACCTGCCCTTTTTATCAAATTTGCCTCCCTGCAACATCTCCAAATACGGCTCCAAAATGAAAACACAGTTGAACGATTCCAGCCCACATTTCAGTTTTTAATAAACAGAAAAACTGAGTGGACTTTCTGTGACTAGCTTCTAAAGAGCAGTAATTAACTCTGTGCTGGTTCAGAGAACCAAACTGAATGATCTTGGTTTTGGCACGCTGGAGCAGGTGCAGCGCTTATCACAGAAGGACAGACAACAGGACTTCTGCTGACAGATTTAAAACCAGCAAACATTAAAAATGTTCTAGAGGTGCACGTGAAAAAAAACTTTTGGTTTTTCTGAACCTGTTCTCAGACCTTGTAATCTACAACCTGAATGAAGCCTATTTTTAACTGTAAGCAGGTTTTGGTTAATCCAAATATGAAGCGTAGATCCACTGTCTGCTCACCGTGCTGATGTCCACAGTTTTGCCGCTGCGTGCCGCCTCGATCATGGGCTCGAAGCTCTTGGCGGTGCGGAGAAAAATCTTTGCCTGCTCCATATCATTTTTCTGCTTCGCCTGCAGCGCAGCCTTCATGTATTGCTTCTTTCGACCCTCCAAGAACTCCAGCTGCTGAACAGCTGGAAAATGAAGACAGAACAGACACAAAGCGAAGTAGTTTATAGATCTGTAATGAGCCCCTAGGTTCTTCAGTCAGTCAGTACTTCTCTCCATCTAACTCGTCTAAAACTTTTTCAGTACGAGTTGAGAGGATGTTCTGTTAAAGAGTTTCTCAGGAGCCAAAGGAGTCTCTGGGTTTTCAGAGGATGTCTTATATCCTTCAGACTTAAACTCTTGTGTCTTACCTGTTTGTGAGAGTCCTTCTCCGATGGTTGTCCTGTCAGGTGAAGCTGACGGAGTCCTCTTCTGTTCGTGACCTGCTGTGGGAATGTCTAAAGTGGGCTTCTTTGGCTCTTCAGGAGCAGCAGGCTTTGCCTACACAGACAAAACACTACAGTCAATTTTTCCACAGGAACCAAATATTTAATTACCTTGTAATTCTGTGATCCTACCAATTCTTCCTTTGCCTCATCCTCTTCCTCATCTGCAACTTCAGCAGCATCACTAGAGGCAAGCTTATTAGCTGCCTCCAGAGCAGCAACAATCCCCTGCTCAGCTCCCACTGCCTTCTGGCCAGGGATCGGAGGAAAGCCTGTAAGAAAAGGTGTTCACTGACCTTTTCAGCTTAGCAGAAAAAAGAAATGTCCATGTATTTGTGCTGCAGCAATAATAAAAGTATACAAAGTAATCCTGCACTACAGAACTGAGCACATAAATATAATTGGGCTTTATAGAGTTAAATTTCACTTGGAAAAATAAAAAACATGTATCTCACCAGGGGGAACCGGCAGCTCGTCAAAGTTGACTGCTTTTCCTGCTTTGTGAGCGCGGATGGCGCTCTGGTATTGCTGCAGGAGGCAGGAGTTTAAAAATATGTTAGCAGCAGAGCCAATCCTCTCATCGGGGGGTAAACGTAGAAGTTTGCCGATGCTAAGTGCTGGGAGACTATGCCTTTATTATTATTATTATTATTATGTCTGTAAATTTAATTTATTGCCTCGTTTTATTTACTCATACCCACATAATTATTCGAGATTTTAAAGTCTTAGACACAAACAAATCCAAGCTTCAACAAAAAAGGGAAAGAGGATGGTCTGTTTCACATTTTGGAGCGGGCCCGTTTTCACTCATCCAGTACAATCCTGAACATTTCCAGAACTTTTTACCCGACAGAGGAGCACGTAAGAACACAAATGTCCTTCGCAGCTGGATCACATATAAATCTCTTTGTATTTAGCTTAATTAGCTTAGTATGCTGCCTCCAGTGCTTTCTTTTCAGGCATTCGCCTCATCTACAAACAAACAATACTTCAAGTAATCCAAGTCTTGCTCTGTGCTCGATGTGAAGAAGAATAATTGTGGAACAAATCCCGTTCTGATTCTGTTCAAAGTGTGCAGTTCATGTGTGGAAACGACCCAAGACTGCATGAAAAATAAAACGCTGTGTCTATGTCAGAGAGGACGAATGTGACAAAGCTTTAGTAACAGAGCACTCTGACTGTAAGGACAGACTTCAGAAGTTTCTCCTGTTACCTTGGCAATACGGTCGTGCATTCGGGCCTTGCGGTCGTCTCCGCTGGCCTTGGCCTGTGCAGACGCCTCAGTGTACTTGGCTCGTCTCTGCTCGAGAGCCTCCAGCACATCTTTAGGAGCTGAAGGGGCTGAAAGAAAGAAAAAAAAATCAACCAGAACTACCCACTGTAGCGACCCCGTGAACGAGGCAGTAGCTTTATCTGATTGAGTACAGAGGCAATATGGACGTGTCAAAGATGCAAATGTCTCTCGGTTGGTGCAGGAGAAATTATCAGATATAAAATAGAGTTATTATTTTTGATTCGTAGCAATGATGAAAAAATAATTAAAAAATAAATAAAAATAAATAAATAATAATAATAATAATCTGGAAGAAAAAATTACTTTTCCACACTCCTTTTTGCTACAAAGCTCTTGTTTTACAAGTTAGGCACACCTGTTTCCTTTATAGTGGTGCATCTGCATCCTCCTAAAAACTCATGACAGTTCAGTTCAGCTTGAGCCAAGATGGAGAGAGAGCCTTTGGTCGACAGATCAAAGGACCATTACAAAACCTGCTGCAGCTCCTTTTGTCTCCATATCTCTGAGGGACCTGGTGTCATTCGTTTATCAGCTGCAGCTCTCTGCTGCGCTCCTGGCTACCATCTAGGTTCAAAAGGCCCAAGTAAACTGTCACCCCAACCTGTTGCTGTCCCCATTTTCACCCTCACAGCAGCTAATTGCCCTTATGAGATGCCTTTCCACTCAAAAATATCTAGCAATATGAGCTTTACTCCTTACCAGACAACCCAGTGTCCCCCACCACCTCCAAATCATATATTTGTGGTTTTTCCATCTTTTGAATTACTATATTGAAAAGTACAAGTAAGTGCCTGTTAAAAGCACAATTCACGTATAATGTTTGTTCAGTTAATTAATAACTCATACATACATATACTATACATTTTTTCACAACACAGGCTCATTGATTTCACTATGAATGAACCATGGGTGCTTATAAGGACTGTAAATCTCATCTCATCAGCCATGTGACATTTTGTGAATGTTTACTTTTTAATGCAAACAGCTGAATGTTTATCAGAGCTGTCATGTTTGGGGTCACTTCCTGCTACTCATCTTTATGTAAATTAATACAACGCTGTCACAAAACAAACAGCATGTTTTCTTCTGATATAATTTGCTGTATTTTAAGAGAAATAAGCTGAAAGCAGAACTACGTGAGTGTTAAAATGATTCCTACCTGGAGCTGCTGCAGCCGGCGGGGTCGGCTGTGTGCTTTGACCAGCGGGAGCTGCAGCCACCGGAGCGGAGCTTCCTCCTGGACATTCAACACAAAAACACAAATTCAACTGAAACAAACAGAAAACAAGTTTGTGGAAGAGCTGTGTGATCTCTATTGAGTTTCTAGAATAAAGTCCTTTTTTAAAAAACGACTTTTGTTATTAGTAGTTTACTGCATTTTAGATGCATAATTAATGTGACTACATACATACTAGAGATGGCACGATACCACTTTTTTATGTCCGATACCGATACCGATATCATAAATTTGGATATCTGCCGATACCGATATGAATCCGATATAGTGTTTTTTAATCAACAAAACTGTTTTTTAAAATATCTTGCTGCATTTTGCAAGTCTGCAAGTTCATACTCAAGTTTAAAACAACAACTACACTAAAGCTATTCTGTTATACCTGTATACAAAAAAAATATTTCATAGTTCAGCAATACTGATCAATCTAATAAACTTAGACCTACACCATCCTCCCTATTCTGGTATTTTAAAGAGTACTTAGCGTAAATATTAAGCAACCTAACTAATAGGGTTCCAACTCCCAGCAACAACAAAATAAATAAATAAAAAATAGGGAACCACCCCTCACGCTCCACCTCATGATGCTTAATCAACGTAATCAACCTTAATTTGATGCAGTGTGAAAAAAAATGCACAGAAATCAATTATTTTTCAAGAAATATTAAATAGATTCAACATCTTTCTTCAACAAAATTGCAGACTGCACAGATGGTACCTTCCCAAAGGAAAAAGTACTATAGCTTACTAGGGTATATATATTAGACTTAATAGTCACTATATACAGTAATTGACTTCTATTCATTTTACATCAAATTAAAACTTTGGGTGTCAGATAATTATTTATTAAAAGCTAGACATTTTAAATGAGAATAAGAAAGAAAAGTATGTCTTTGTGCCCCCTTTTCCCAGTTAATGCCCTATCGGCCCCCTGGCTAAACTTTGCTAGATCCGCCCCTGCACAGTTCCCTTTCAGTCGATTCACTCGGTACAACACATAAGTATGGGATATCACGCCCTCGCGTGTCCTGGCTGAAGAAACCTTTATTCACGCCTTTACGGCAGATGACGTGTGATGACACGCGCAAGGCCCCGCCCGCACATATAGCCGCTGCCATCACCGTCATCCCTCAGTTCTTACGCTCTTCACCTCGCTGAGAACACCTCTGCTGAGTTGGGCTAGCTAGCTACTGCTAGTTAGCTCCGTTGTCTGCCAACTTGAACCTAGCTTAACTGCCCCTGTTGGTGTTAGCCTCCACCGCCCAGCTGGTGCGTAGGCTGCCCGCGGAGCGCTATTTTCAAGTTTTTCTTGTGCAGCGTTTCGCTTTGCGTTTTGGGAATGGACTCCAAACCGAAGCGAGCAAAGCAGAAATCTTCTGTTCGCCCCTGTCCTCAGGGATGTGGTTTCTCTTTGCACGACAGCGACCAGCACGATGCCTGCCCTGTCTGCCTGGGGATCGTCCACGCTAGGAGAGCGTTGACGGAGCCCGAAGCTTGTGCGTTTTGTCGCCAGCTCCGACGCTCGACCCTGGAAAGACGGGTGACGTTTGTGGAAAGAGTGCTGGGACGCTCGGCTGTCGCACGGCATGACCCTCTTCTTTCCGAGTCTGGAGCCCCGGCTTCGTCCGAGTCCGAAGACGAAAATTTTCAGGTCGATGTCCCCGCGATTAGCTGGGCTGACCACATGGAATACGTTGACGGGTTAGCCGATGACGGACCGGAACCATGCAGGAGCGCTGACGGGCTTCAGCCTGGGTTGAAGCCCGCCAGCGCTCCCCAGGAAGACGATGACGTGCTGGACATCGGCCTGGACATCCATGGTTTGTCGGAGGATGAGCAGGAGAGCTCATTGTCGACCCAATATGCCGCCGCTGCTGCGCCGGTCGGCCACGATGACACCTCTCTTTTCTCCCTGTTTCGCCGTGCCGCTGAGAAGCTGCAGGTGGACTGGCCCTCTCCTCCACCAGCTCGGAAGCCGTCGCGGTTTGCGGGTTTTTTCCTTCCACCGGAGCCCGCAACGGCCAAAAACTGCTCCCCATGTTCCCAGACTTTCTCTGCGAGCTAACAGCGTCATGGGACAAACCTCTGTCTACCCGCGTCACTGTGCCCGGCTATGGACAGTACATGGAATTGGACGGCGCCGAGGGAGCTGGTTTAGCTAACCCACCCCCTATGGAGCCGTCTCTGGCTGCTTATCTGGCCCCGCCATAACCATGGTGTCGGTGGCCCCGCAACTCTGCCGTCCAAGCACTGCAGATTCTCGGCCTCGCAGCTGGAGAAGATTTATCGGGCTCAGGCCGGCACCGCTCGAGCCATGAGCTCCGTCACCATGCTCCAGACGTACCAAGCAATGTGCCTGGCGGAGCTTGGATCGCTGGTTCCGGAGGACAGCCCGCTGTCACCTCTTCTTAACGAGGTTAGAGTCACCACGGATTACATCCTCCGTGCGTCTCGCTGTGCAGCGCTCTCCCTGGGCAGAGGGATGGCTTCGACAGTGGTGGCGCAGAGGCACCTGTGGCTGACCCTCTCCGACGTCCCTGATAGAGACAGAGCTGTGTATCTGGACGCACCAGCGTCTGCGGCTGGGTTATTCGGACATTCACTTGAAGCCATTCAGGCTAGATTCGATCTGAGGAAGAAGCAGACGGAAGCTCTGCGCGACATCATCCCCAGACGCCAGCCCAAGCCCACTGCTAGCTCTCACAGGCCCGCCGCTCCTCTGACAGCTGGCAAGAGACCGGCGCCCACTGCTGGAGTGGGAGGGCCGCCGGCGAGAGCACGTACTCCGGCCCGAGCTCCACGCCAGTCGGCCTGGGGCAAAGGCCGGGAGACGCAGGGAGACGCTGCTCTTACCCCTCTGTTGCCGCACAAGAGGTGCCGCTTAAGTTCTGTTCAGGTTGTCAGCCCCAGAAGGCGCTGCACTTCCCTATCGCGTCTCCCGCACATAACCCCTACACGGTTCAATGTGTTGAATGTTCAAGCGACCATCGAGTGTTCCCGCTGTTTTCATTGTTATGCCCCGGGTGCACACCAACAAAATGTGTACATGTCCCATGTTGCAATCAATAAAGAGTGTTTTTCTCAAACAATCTCAATGCTCAACCTGCAGGCGAAATGAGCCAGGTCAGGCAGGGGATCCAGCCCACTGGGGGCGACGGCGCCCCGCCGTCAGTGCTGCAGGCCAGCCGGCTGGCTGCTCACTTCCCTCAGTGGCGCGCTTGCGCCCCTCTCCGTGGGTGCTGCAAACCGTTGCCATGGGTTACCGGTTGCAGTTCCGGGTCAAGCCGCCTCGTTTCCAAAGAGTCGTGAACACGATTGTCAACCCCGAGGCAGCCTTGGTACTCAGAGAGGAAATACAGGCGCTATTACAGAAGAGAGCAATACGGGTGGTCCCCGCTTCGGAGACGGACAAAGGTTGGTACAGCCGTTATTTTGTCATTCCGAAGAAAGGGGGAGGGCTTCGTCCCATCCTCGACCTGCGAGTCTTGAACACGTACCTGCGAACGTACAGGTTCAAGATGCTAACACTCAGACAGCTCCTGAGTGCAGTCGGCCCGGGAGATTGGTTTGCGACAATCGATCTAACAGATGCTTATTTTCATGTCGCTATACACCCGAAACACAGGCAGTTTCTGAGGTTTGCATTCGAGGGCGTAGCCTACGAATACCTAGTGCTGCCGTTCGGGCTGTCGCTCGCTCCCCGCACCTTTACGAAATGTGCCGAGGCAGCGCTAGCGCCCCTCAGGAAGAGGGGCATCCGCATCTTGGCCTACCTGGACGACTGGGCTCTCGTGGCTTGCTCCAGAGAACAGGCGGAGACGCAGCTGTCGCGGGTTCTGTCACACATTCAGACACTGGGGTTCTCTGTGAACTTTCAGAAGAGCTCGCTAATCCCAGGTCAACAGATCGCTTTTCTCGGTCTGGAAATATGCTCTCTTTCCAGCCGCGCACGGTTGTCAGAGCACAGAGTGGCCGCGTTTCATCGCTGCCTCGCTCAATTTCAGCTGGGACGCAGACTGCGTTTCCAGACGATATTGCGCTTGTTGGGCATGATGGCATCTATGATCGCCGTAGTGCCGCTTGGGCTGTTGAAAATGAGAGCGTTTCAACGCTGGACTCTCTCTCACCGTTTGTGTGCTTCGCGTCACCTCCGGAGGAGGCTGCCGGTAACTGCGTCTTGCATGCTAGCTCTCCGTCCTTGGAGGGAGCCCGGGCTACTGCACCAGGGCTCTCGGATTGGGAGGGTGTTGTTTCGCAAGGTGGTGTCCACAGATGCTTCCCTAAGTGGGTGGGGAGCGCTGTGCGAGGGTGCGTCAGTGAGAGGGATCTGGTCCGCGGCTCAGCGCCAGCTGCACATCAACCACTTAGAGCTGTTAGCAGTGTTCTTAGCTCTAAAGCGTTTCCGTCCAGTCCTGCAGGGCCAGCATGTCTTAGTCAGGACGGACAATTCAACAGTGGTGTCTTATATAAACAGGCAGGGAGGAACACGCTCTCTTCCCCTGTTGCAGCTGTCTCGCTCTCTGCTGTTATGGTGCAGTGTTCATTTTCTGACTCTAAGAGCCACCCATGTCCCGGGCCACCTGAACCTGGGGCCGGACCTTCTCTCCAGGGGGGGTCCTCTGGTGAGAGAATGGAGGTTACACCCTTCAATAGTGGCTCAGATTTGGGATCTATTTGGCGAGGCGCAAATAGATCTTTTTGCTTCCAGGGTGAATGCTCACTGCCCCCTGTACTTCTCCATAATCGACCACGATGCACCCTTGGGCTTGGACGCGCTAGCGCACCAATGGCCAGACGTGCTCCTGTATGCATTTCCCCCAGTGGAAATGATATCTCCAATTCTGGAGAGGGTGCGTCGGCATTCCCTCTCTCTGATCCTGGTGGCCCCTTGGTGGCCCGCGAAGTCGTGGTATGCAGAAATAATCAGCCTGCTTGCAGCAAGTCCTTGGCAGCTTCCTCTCCGCAGGGATCTCCTCTCTCAGGCGGGGGGGAAGTGTTTCATCCGCGCCCGGATCTGTGGCACCTTCATGCTTACCTGCTGAGAGGTTAAACTTGGTTGCTAAGGGTCTGCCACCTAGTGTGGTAGCGACGATTCAGAGCGCCAGGGCCTCGTCTACTAGAGGCTTGTACGCTTACAAATGGCGAGCCTTCGAGCGATGGTGCCAGGACCGCCACACTCTCCCATTTCAGTGCTCTATTGTGGATGTTTTGACATTCCTGCAGGAGCTGTTGGATAAAGGCCTTTCGTTTTCGACGATCAAGGTTTATTTAGCGGCTATATCTGCTTGTCATATCGGTTTTGACGGGGTGACACCAGGTGCGCATCCCCTCGCCGTGCGTTTTCTGAAAGGGGTTCGCCGGCTGAGGCCCGTGCTTAAGTCCAGTGTCCCGCTTGGGACTTGTCTTTGGTGCTGGAGGCCCTTTGTGGCCCTCCGTTTGAACCCGTTGAGTCGGTAGATATGAAACTTCTTTCGTATAAGACCGCATTACTTCTCGCTTTGGCCTCGGCGAAGCGAGTGGGGGACCTTCATGCGCTGTCTGTGCATCCTGCCTGCACACAGTTTTCTCCTGATGGCCGCAAGGTCGTATTGCGTCCGAATGCCGCCTATCTTCCCAAGGTCATGCCTGCATCTTATAGTTCAATGGAGTTTGAGTTGCTGAGCTTTTGCTCCCCTCCTTTTGAATCTGAGGAGCAGAGGAGGGTGCATTCTCTTTGTCCGGTGCGTGCGCTACGCACCTACATTGAGCGCACTCGGGATGTGCGTTTGTGTGACCAGTTGTTTGTCTGCTTCGCTAATCCGAATAGAGGTAGAGCTCTGTCCAGACAGAGGCTGTCCCACTGGATTGTAGAAGCTATCTCGCTGGCATACAGCACCGGAGGTTTTGCGTTGCCCCACGGGGTGGGAGCTCATTCCACCAGGGGGATGGCGACCTCATGGGCTCTTTTTAGAGGGGTGCCTGTGGCTGATATTTGTGCAGCGGCTAATTGGGCGTCGCCGCACACTTTTGTGCGGTTTTATCGGTTGGACGTTACAGCCCCTTCGGTGGCTCATGCTGTCCTTTCTGCTGGGTCTACCACTCACTAGGATGTGGTGGTCCCGTTCCGGTTCGGTGGCTGCTCTGCGGGGCGTGTATATAGGTCCCATACTTATGTGTTGTACCGAGTGAATCGACTGAAAGGGAACGATTAGTTATGTCTATAACTTCTGTTCCCTGAAGGAGAGGAACGAGGTACAACACAGGGTGGCCCCACTGAGCAGTTGGCTCGGTGAAGAGCGGCTATCGAACTGAGGGATGACGGTGATGGCAGCGGCTATATGTGCGGGCGGGGCCTTGCGCGTGTCATCACACGTCATCTGCCGTAAAGGCGTGAATAAAGGTTTCTTCAGCCAGGACACGCGAGGGCGTGATATCCCATACTTATGTGTTGTACCTCGTTCCTCTCCTTCAGGGAACAGAAGTTATAGACATAACTAATCGTTACCAGCCGTCAGCTACGTAGAAAAAGATCCTGGTGTAGAAAGAAATATTAAATAAATTGTAACAACAGCTTATCAAGCTTAAACGTGCTGCTGTTGTTCAGCCGCTGGTTTGCTCTTTCTGGCGCAAAGTGGACCAAAAACAAACAAGAGAGACTCACGACAGAAAAGCCGATCAGCTGATCATTAGCAGTTTCACGATTGAAGTAGCAGCCGGAGAGAGAGAGGCAGTCGCTCGTTAAGCTTAACGTGGGAATGCTTTACAAACATTCAGAGATGGACTTACACACTTGCTTTACTTCTCTCGGGGATAACTTTGTCGGAGATGAAATGCCAGGTTGCTAGCGAAGCTCCACATGCTATCCAGACCACAGGTCCCGCATGCCACAGCTGCTCTATCACGTGATGCATACTGCTCCGACGTTCTGAGGCGAGTTACGGCGTGTTGCAAGTTTTGTGAGGTGCTTTCGTGATATTTAATGGATCGGATTACATTTTTTATTTTTCTCCGATATCCGATCCAGTAATTTAGGTCAGTATCGGACCGATACCGATACGTAATATCGGATCGGTCCATCTCTAATACATACCCCAGTTTAGTGTGTTATAGCTTAAAGTTGAACTATGGTGCTGGTGTACATAGAGGTGTACACCCCTTAGAATTCATGGTAATGTGTTATTACCCATTTGTGTAGGTATTTAGCTACACAAAGTAAAGGATGCATTTTTTGTCTGGAGTCATCCCTTTGCGGGAAAAGGAGTGACAGGAGAGTTAACCAGGAGGGGGAGACGTGAAAGAAAACAATCAGTGTTCAAAAAAGTGACATGCCAAGCACAGGTGATGGCCATGGCAGACGGTTTTCATTGTTTTGAAAAGTACATTTTAACTTTGGTTCTACCCCTTTGGCTGGTTGAAGGACCAGAAACAGCACATGCATGAGTACTCCACAGACCAGTTGTTCCACATATTTTTGACATTGCCCCCTGGTGATGGTAAACATGTAGATGATGGCCTATGAAGCAGTACACCAAAGAAATGACTGAAACTGAATGTCAGGTCTGAGCTTTTGTCTCAGGTTGATTATTTGTGCATACTCTGACCTCATTATTTACATTTTCTGTCATGTTTAATGTGGACATTAAACATGACAACCCCTGCAACAGCACACACACACAGAATATCAGATGAAAAAGATACTTTTTCAATCATTTGTAATGCTGACACAAAACACTTAAGGTAAGTACTAAACAGAAAAGTTTATTACTGCCTGTGCCAAACAAACATTCACCATACTGACGTGGAAAATAAAGCTTAGAGGGAGATGCAGTTTAGCCTTGGATGTTACATTTTTGAATAATCTCACCAAAACATCCCAGCTGAACAAGCCCCGCCCATCTGCTGTTCAGGCCTTCTGTTTGCAACGGGCAGCCAATGAGAAGAAAGTTGGCTTAAAAAGAGAGGAGTTATAACTGAGGTTCTGGCTCAGAAGGCCCAGTATAAGATAAACAATGGCCTATAATAACCCTAACCCTAACGTAACAGGATAGCAGATTTCTAACCAATTAAGACAACACAGACTGATTGCTTTTACTGTACTTGAACCACTGGTGCCAGTTCCTTGGTGTGTTCATCATAACAAAACTGAAATTTGACGCTAGTGTTTCTCACCCTGTCCTGGAGGTGAAGGAAGGCCACTCAGATCCACTGACTGTCCTTTTTCCAACGCCTCGATCACTGCATCGAAACTCTGGATCAAATTTAAAAGAAAAAAAAGGTCAAACATAATGATGGTCTTTGTGAGGATCCGCATTTTTGGCATGTTTCACATTCTTCAGAGAGAAACCCTGCCAACAGACTGTGCAGCAACACAGTGTGGGGATAACAACGTGCAGTACTATGCTACTATTTTAACTCTAGATTCAAATAAATGTTTTCTAAATCTTACAGCACTGGAAATCAAATCAGACACGAGCGATGAATGTACAGAGGATAACAGAATGCTTTTTCTTTTTTTACCGTGTTTGTTAACTCTACAAGATTTGATGCATGCTCAATAATTCTGGTGAGGCAATCCCAGAAAGTTTGTATGGATGCAGTGTTTTCGGGAGAAGAAACATTTCATCAGTCATCACAGTAATCAAAGAAATTAAATGTTTCTTCCCCTGAAAATGCTGCGTACAGATAAACAGAATGAACTTTCTGAGATACTCCAGGGGTGTATCAGGAAGGAAATAAAGCTAATGTTCAGAAAAATATAATTACTGTATAATAAAATGACCAAGCATTAGTGGACATCAGTTTGTTTAAGGCTGAAAACTTTAGATGACTCAAATTTCCCACTAAAAAGAAGAACATACAGCAAAGGACACACAAAGTGAATCTAGACAGTTGTTGGTGGTAAACCACAACGTTTTTGTTCTGAATTCTTAGCTGTGGATGTTACTTTTCGTTCTATTTTGGTTTGTAGCATTTAAAGTAAATCAACATATTCTTGAAAATGGTGCCACCCTGCTGTAGTACAATCTTTAGGTGGCACCTGGAAGTAAAAGTTAGAGAACAGCTGTCCTGAAACACCCACCTCACCAGAAGCCATAATCACGCCCTCTAATCACCTTAATCATGGCAGCATACACGACCAAACAGTGATTATACTTCACTGCCTGTTATTTCTCAAAGGTCTATTTAAACACATCAACTGACTTTCAAAAGAGTTTCAGTAAACTTGACCTCTGAGCTTTCCCTTGTTGTCACCGAATGTACAAGGCCACCAAAATTTGAAAGGTCCAAGATTTTTAGCATGTACATCTATGATATCTATCGATTTGAAAAGTTATGTTCACTCGAAATCATTTAATCTGATCATGTCTGATAACAAAAAAAAACAGCTGGTGATACAAGTTTAAAGAGCAAAACAAAGAGAACAAGAGCAGTGTGAGGATACGCGCCTCATGAAGGCTCTGATTTCAAAAAGATATCTGGATTAATTAATCAAATTCTTCATATTTTTTGAGGAAAAAAAACATTTATTTGAGAAGAATTTAATTCCAGTTTTGCTCCCCCATCTCAAAATGTTCCCAGATCCAAATAGACACCAAAAGTTAATAACAGAAAAAAATAAAAAGGAACCAATTCCTGCTTGGTAAAGGTAAGTATTAGATTTTTCTTAAAAATAATCCTGTGAGACATCATGTTGAAAACAGACACACGGTATCTATTATCAAAAATGCAGCTTTTACAACATTCCTACAGAAGAAACTTCCTCTGCTCAGAAACATTGCTGCACTTCTCATCGGAAAAAGGCTTCATTCTGTGTATACACACAGACACAAACACGCTAAACAGGAAACAGAAACACCGTTTTGAATTACACTGTTGAAGGCCAGAAAATACACAATTTCTTACAAAGACGTGACAAATGGCTACATGTTTCTGTCTGAAATCCTTTTATCTGATTTAATATAAAAACATCACATTGAAAATGTTTTTAAACCATCTACAACAGACCTGTCAGACCACAATTCAGTCTGCTGGTTATCTGTCACTTCATTTTGAACACATCACTCATAGCTGCTGGTCTCTGACTCACCTTGCTGGTCTTGAAGTAAAGCTTAGCTTGCTCCACGTCTCCTTGATTCTTGGCTCTCAGCGCTGCCATCTTGTACTCTTGCTGTCTCTCCAAAAGCATCTTCTTGGTGGCCTTGTTGGCTGAGGGTTCACCGGACAAATCAGATGTCAATTCCCACAGTGAAAGGCCTCATTCATCGCAATAATGAGGAGGGAGAAGACGACAGATTCGCCTCAGCTATATCAGTCATCAGCTTCCCTCCGATCCAAACTCAAATGTGTGCAAACCATTACCAGTTACACATGATCAAATGCATCATAGCGTGCTAAAATACAGAAAAAAATATAATCTAAACCTAAAATGTGTTGGTGGTCACTTTATATAGCCTGTTTAAGAGTTGAGAGGTCTTTACATAATACATAAATAATAAAAATATAATAATAAATTTTGATGAAGACGGGGTTTTCTTCATCGATTGGAAGATTAAAAACATCTACTTGTCACTGTTCTCTGGTCAGTTTAATCTGACTCGTTTTGATAATCAGCGTCAAGCGTAACAGATATTCTAACACAGACAGATTGCTTTTACTGTGCAGCTCAATTATGCCTATAGCTGTAGTCTCCATGCCAATTCTGAGCAAAGAAAAACACGGTCTAATGTGCAACTCAAGAGAAACTGACCATCTGATTGTGAAACGTCAGCAGCTTCCTCATCGGTTTGCTCCTGAGGAGATGGGAGGCTGCTCAGAGTGGATAGAGCAGCAGAAGACGATTGCTCCTCCTCGCTGCTGGGTGTGATGACATCGGGCGCGGCAGGTGACTGTGGTGATGTGGCCTCCGACTCCCGTGACTGAGAGGGCTGAGGTGGCGATGGTACAGGGGGAGCAGGCCTCGCAGGCACAGCTGGTCGCGGGGCAGCGCTCGGGGCTCCGATGGCAACAGGCGGCGGGATCTCTGCCTCATTTACAGGCCTTCCTTTTTTCACAGCACCCAACATTGACTCCAACGTCTGTGAGAGAAACCATAAATTCATAAAGTCAACAAAGACGCCATCATGTGTAATAAAAAGGGTTCATCGCAGAAATCTAATCACTTAAGACTCACAAGTGTAAACAATGACCAAGAGGTTTTATGGGCAGGAGTAAGAAAGAGATGAAAATCTTTTACATAAGGTGTTTTAAGAAATGCAAACCAAAATTGCATCTTCTGACTGTGACATAACGAACAGCTTGGTGTAAATTCATGCCCTCTGCATGTCGTACCTTCAGACCACGATCATATCTCCTGGCTTTTGAGGACTCCCCTGCTGTCTTGGCGTTCTGCAGGGCTGTCTTGTACATTGCCAACCTCTCCTCCAGGGTGTGTTGGAGGCTGCCGGGGGCTGCCGCAGAGACTTTTACTTCCTCCTACGAGTGTGAGACCAAAACAACCTAAGAAGCAGCTGGAAACATCTGGTTAAAGGAAGAAATGACTCACTGTGCAAAACATGTTGACATAAACAACATATTTTTCAGTTTCTGTCCATCTACATCTTAACCTTAATCATATGCTTAAAATTCGAGGCACATTAAGCATCCAAAGTTTTTAAAAGACACTAAAATGCAGATGTGAGGAAATTCATCACCAGGAATGAAGTCAGACTTACTAGAAGGAATGAAAATAATTTACCTCAACTGCATCTAGTCAACAGAAGCTGATCACGTGCCAGTTGAACAACTGTTTTTTGTGTAAAAGTTTAAAACATCTTTGATTTCATATTAAAAAAAAAATAGGCATCAAGTTTTATAAAACCTCAACAGGTAGGATGTTTCCTTTCCCTTTCTTTTCAGTTACTGGCAACAGGTAAAAAAATCTCCCATTTGACAAACATGTTGATGGTGTCAGTTTCAAGTTTGGCAGAAGCAGCGTGTATTGTACCTGTGCCGCTGGGGACTCTGGTGTTTCACCCTTAGAAGATTCAGCAGGGGCAGAGGATGTGGAGGAAACATCCTCAGCTTCCTCCTCACCCACCACTTCCTGTAGCTCTGCCTGATAGAGGGGGGAAAAAAAAAATGCAACCGATCAACAGTAAGCTTTCTCTGTGCACACACAGAGCTGGATTTCAGAAGCAGCGAGTGGGAGTCGCGCTTCCCATCTGTTGTTTGATAAATGGAAATACTGCGAAGCAGAAAGTGCAGAACATAAAAAAAACAAACCAACTGTAATTTACAGCTTAAGAACACCATGATTACTGTGTGAGCTATAAAACTGACGGGCACAGAGAGGCCAGAGTGAATTTATTTATTGGTTTTTATTGGTTTTAGTTCATGGAGTCAGTTGATAGTGACTGTGAGTTAATATCAGTAAAATGCTGTTCTGTTCCAGTTTTTCAGGGTTAACAAGATGAGCAGTGACTTAGAAAAAGCACACATTTGCCAAAGAAACGTCATCTTTTTGGCTACAGATCACTTTCTGACTACTATACACTCAACGGACACTTCATTAAGTACACCTAGTTCCAGGTTGACCCTCTTTTGTCTGAAGAAATGCTTTAATTCTTAGTTACTTAGATTCAACAAAGTGCTGGAAACATTCCTCAGAAATTCTCAGCCCATACTGAGATGACAGCATGGAACAGTTACTGTAGATATGCAGGAAGCACATCCATGTGAATCTCCCTTTCCGCCACAACCCAAAGGCGGTCTATTGGATGGGATCCGCTGACTGTGGAGGCAATTTGAGAACAGTGAACTTGCTGTCATACTCAGGAAACCAGTTTGAGCTCATTTGAGTTTTTGTGATAGGGGATAATATCCTGCTGGAAGCAGCCATCAGAAGCTACACTGTGGTCATAAAGACGGTCAGAAATTACCAGCAACAACATTTAGGTAGGCTGTGGCATTCAAGCAGTGCACCATGGACACTAAGGACCCCAAAGTGAACTGCCACTAGCTGGAGAGTTTCTCTTTTTCAAACCATTCTCTGTAAAGCCCAGAGATGATTGCATGAGGAAAATCCCAATGGAGCAGTTTCTAAAGTCACTTAAATCACCTTTCTTCTTCATTCTGATGCTCATGCTTGAACTTCAGCAAGTTTTGCTGACCATGTCAACATGCCTAAATGCACTGAGTTGAGGCATGTGATTGGCTGATTAAATATTTGTATTAAAGAGCGGTGGAACAGGTTTAGCCGTGAAAGTGGCCAGTTGGTGTAATTGTGCATTTGTTAAAACACCGCTACAAGAAACTGGAAACCATGACTCCTAAGGAATCTAACACGAAGCACGATTATTGGGTTAGTGAGCCACATCATTCTGAAAGGATGGAATAAAGTGACCTAAAACTTAAACCAGACTGGTCAATGTATTTGTAGACTTTTGATCACCAACAATATCCAAGCTCGCTTTGATTAGGCCGGAAAGTCATTTCCACGTCTCTGCCATGTATGGGACTTTATCACTGCACTCAGTAGCCTTTCATCTTTAAATCTATGCAGTTTACAGTTTTAAAGCTCTGGTGTGCACTGAAAACATGCCAAGTTATAAAATAAACACATCAGCCTAGATTTCTGATTGCTTGCTGGCCTTGCCTAAAGTTTGGGAATGGATCAAACAGAGCAGGTTATTTAAACACTAACCAACAGGTCTTCATCGTCTTCTACATTGTCGTCATCATCATCATCCAGGTCCTTCATACACTCGTCTGCCATTCTTGCGATATCTTCCATGGGTAGGGGACCTACAACACAATCAAGGTGTCATGAATTCACATTATAAGCAGAACAAATGAAGCAATGCAGTGTGGATGACATCTTCTAAAACAAAGAATTCACAAAGAGTGATTGTCCGGGGAATAATTATCACACATTCACTAGACTCAGCCAACAGTCAAAGTCTCCAAATGAAAGAGAGCATTCTCACAAAAAAGTTTTATAAACTTAAAACTTGAAGATCATCTTTTCTCTGTCAGTGCGCCCCAGGGCAGCTGTGGCTACAATGTAGCTTGCCATCACCAGTGTCTGAATGTGTGTGTGAATGGGTGAATGACAGGTTGTGTAAAGCGCTTTGGGGTCCTTAGGGACTAGAAAAGTGCTATACAAATACAGGCCATTTACCATTTATGAGGTACTATTCAGCTGTTAAAGTTAAATCGAGTTCACACTCTTGACTTAAACCTCTAAAATACACTTAGAAGTGAAAGACTCGGTCGTGTTCGGGGAGAGCACAGCAAAGATTGTTGAAACTGTTTCAGTGGTTTCGCTGATATTTTTACATTTAGCTGTGATAGGCTAAATAATTCACTGTTGTACATAAACAATCCTCTCCCACTGGTATAGTCTGTTTCTTTCTACCACTATCTTCAAGTGGGAATACACTCTCTGGTGTGTTGTTGTTTTTTTGCACTTTATGGACTGTGAAGTACAGCTGCTTAATTCCGGTATAATCCTAATTATTTAATAAAATCAGGAGTGACACAATTACTCACAGACTTTGAGAAAAAAACTGGTTGATTCATTAAACTTTAGAAAAAAACATATTTCATTTTATTTCTTTTACCATTAATTATATTTAGATGAACTAAACCTGCTGCAGTCTGTTAAGGAGGTGAAGTTAGACACTTATGGAGGAAAGGGATGTACTAATTGTTGGAAATAAAAATGTGGCACAATAATTGTTATATCTCAAGTATCTGGTTTTAATAATTGTCAGAAGTCAAAACTCAAACTTAAATTAAAATTCTACTTCTAGCACATCCCAACTATGGACAGTACTTGTGTTGTCTTAACGAGGTCTAAGTCAAATTATTTATATACACATTTGTGGTGGCTAAGGTGGCAACCTCCAGGGCCCCATTTCAGGAAGCCAGTTTAGTGCAAACTCTGAGTAAGTAAACCCTGGGTTAACGGAAACTCTGGTTTTTCGGTTTCACAAAGCGAGTTTAGATTAATTCGAGCGAGTTACTATGACGACACACTCCGTGAAGCTAACCTGCCCCCTAGCAGGTTAGCTTCAACTAACCCTAACTTTCTCCGCCTCTTTGTCGGAAACCTGACTGTAGGAAGTGTCGGACATGGCTGCTCCTTCCTTGAAGAGCCAGTAGATGTTGAAGCCCAAATTCTCCGCAGAGCTCTCCGCCGGGAGAGAGTGATTAGAGCGCGTTCGGACATTTTATCATTTCCTGATGATTTTCTGTGTGAACGTTACCGTTTTTCAGCACAATCTATAATTTATTTGGATAACATCCTCAGGCCTAATATTGCTCATGTGACACATCGCGGACATTCTCTCAGTCTGTACATATTATTTGTATTGCACTTCGGTTTTTTGCAAACGGGAGCTTTCTGTATAATATTGGTGACGCTGAGCACGTTTCCAAGGCTACCGTCTGTCGGGCAGTCAGGAATGTTACAGTTGCACTGAAACGTCTCCTGTACTCGTTTGTGGTGTTCCCCGGTCACAGACCCACACGATTTATCAAAGAGGGATTCCACAAAATTGCAGGTATCAGGATGAACGAAACTTAATTCATGATGTGGTGATACTTGAACTACTACTTAAATTTTACATTTATTCTCACGGTTCCCAGGCGTGATTGGCTGTATAGATGGCACTCACATTCCAATCATTGCTCCTTCAGTAAATGAAGGAGACTATGTGAACAGGAAGTCTTTCCACAGCATTAATGTACAGGTACATAGTTCCCTGTAGCATTTCAAACTAACAAATTATTTCATTATAGTAATGGATGCTAATTTGTGTTCTCTGCACTGTGAAGATATCATGTGATGCTGCCAACATTATCACAAATGTGGAAGCCAACTGCTCAGCCTCTGTGAGTGGTGGTGGTGGAGGACCCCCACCTGTTTTTCGGGCCTCCGCTTTTTTTCTGTTAGCTTATAACGGGTCACATTTGAGCATACAGAGTAAGGCAAATATGTACTGTAATGTGCTCAGATAATTTCAATAAGTGCTTACAGAAAGAAAATTAATGTAGCCTCTAACTGCAATTGATTTACATCGGACAAACAGACCAAGCACTATGGCTCATAATACAATTACACCTCACCTGTTTGGACTATATTTTTATATTTCATTTTTACTTGCTGCCAGGAACGTTTGGGGCCTGTTGGGTTGCACCTGCCCTCAAATCACATCACAAAATAAAATGTATGAAAGAAAAAATAAAATAAAATATAATAAAATAACGTGTTAAATGGGTGGAAATCCCTAGATCAATGTTTAAATTAACACTCACGCATTAAACTCTGTCGGCTATATTTTGCCATGCATGCTCCCTTTCTTTTGCAGCTGAGGCTGTGTTGCTTTTTTCCGCGGAATTTGCATGTTATCGGCATATGCTGCCATCAGAATTTCGGCCTCAAGCGCTGTAAGATACATTGACCGCGCCTTCTTTCCCTCCGTCTCCATGGTGACTCGCTTAATCTGTGCTCCACTAATCAGGGCTTTATGTATCCTCGTGCGCGCGCTTAACTTGGGGTTAAAGCAACTCCGCGTTGACTGAACTAATTGTTATCAGCCTTTCTGAAACCAAATATTCCGAGTTGGACAGTTCGGGGTTACTCAACCCTGAGTATCGTTTTTCACTCTGAGTTTTCTAAACCGGCTTCCTGAAATAGGGCCCAGAACTAAAAAATGATGCTGAAGTGCTACAAACTGCAGTTTCTGGAGGCATGTAAATCCCCAGATTTCTACTTAAAATGTTCACATTTACTGCATTAAAAAGTTTGCTTATAGCCTGGTACAAAAAACAGTCTTGGCTTCTATGAATAGTTACTACTGAGTAGCTTTTTTTTGGCCTACATTCATCTTTACACTATCTATGGTGTTGACCATATTCAGGACAACTCGGGACATCAACTCAGGAGATCTAAACCCCGACTTTAGAAGCTTTGAGTTTTTGTTGCAAAAAGAGAGCTAACTTACACGCTGAGTGAGCTTCCAGACTAACAAAGTCTGTGCCCCTAACATGCTCACTGACAATTTTTCTTCAACAAACTCTGATTTTATCTCTGAGTACTGCGTTCCTGCTATACCTTTATTCTTTATTCATTCATTAAGAGTCCCATCAGGGGTAAAAGATCAAATATGAACAAGAAATATGAAAAACAAACACACGTATCAACAAATTACCGGTGACAGTGTGTGTGACAGTGGGCAAGAGAGGGAACTTTTACTATATCTTTCTTCCCTGATTCTGTCTAACAAGCCACAAAAATGAATTCACTTTGCAATGCCTCCATATGACAACACACTGCTGGTCCAAGCAAAGAAATCTCCGATCATACTTTTGGTACCTAATGGTCTTCCTGCATAGCAAATCTGCACAAATAATCTAATTATATTAGCAATAACAATGTCCGCTTCCGCTCAAAACCCACTTCCTGCTGGGCTGCAGCATGCTTTCAGGTAATTTATTTTTAATATTTGGGATGGCTGTGGCACTGGAGTTAGATTTAACTAATTGGTAGATTGGTGGCTATCCTTTGGAAAGACACTGAACATCCATCAGAGTGTGACTGGATGAATGAGGGTTGTAGTAAGAAAACATTACAGAGTACAAAGGAATCCACTGTTAAAATCAGTTCACTAAATATACAAAATTACAAAGGCTGTGAGTGATCTCAATACTGACCACAATAACAGCCATAATTAAGCATCTCTACCAACCAACAAACCCTCTGCTTCCTGTTTACACTGACACATAAAGTGTAGTTGCATGATCTTGCGAATCATGTCTAAAGGAAAATTAGTAAATTCGGAGGTTATGTTCGAAACTGCTAAAACACACACCTGGATGGTGACTGAATTTGTGTGGATGTAGCCTGAGACTTTGAGTGCAGCGCTTAAATGACAGCAAATGTTAGCTGTACCTACCACATGTGTAGAAGGGTGCGTGTGGAAGTGGGGTTTTCAGAACTTTAAGTTATAACTACTGCACTTACTTTTCCCCTTCTGCCTGGCTTTTCCTCCTGCAGCAGCCTTTTTTCCAGTAATAGCAGCAAGTTCCGCCTCCAAATCCGGATCGTCCAGGTTTCCGTCCATGCCCATCATCATCTCCTCGGGGTTCAGGTCTACAAACAGACCCATCTAAAAGCAGGAAGTAAGGGGATAAACGTCTCCACGCTGACATATTTCTGAAGAGAAAACCTCCTGTTTGCAACCTTATGTTTACTGGAGTTGTTACCTGCTTGGCAGCAGCGGCGCCCTGGCCTTTGGGCTGCGGTGCTCTCTTCTTCTTACCAAACATGTTTGTTTTGGTTTCTTGTTGTAGAAATATCCCCTCGGAGACACCCCGGTGGTCCAAACCTCACCTACACGAACACACGTACACTTTAAGAAAATATGTCGGTGTTGTAATCAATGTCGGTTGCAGTAGTTGTTGAAATCATGTGAGCGGTTGTCAGGTGGCTCCCGAACAAGCTGCGAAAACGAGCTGCCAAACAACGGTGACGTTAGCCCAGCTAGCTGCTAGCCAACCATGTCTGTCGGCTCTTAAGTCTAAAAGTTAATTTATAAACAAGATGGAAACTACTTCTGTATCTGCCGCGAGGGCTTCAGAGAGATTATCATACCGCGAAAAGACCGTTTACATTTACCTGTTCGTTCACAACTTCATCAGGTAGTTTTCAGAGGAACAGTTTCATTTCTATGCTTTGACATAATGGATTTCTTTGAACGCGCATGCGCTAAGCCTGGGAGCACCCTAGCTCTGCTTGAAAGTTGAATCCCCGAGTCATGTCTGCCAGGCAACGAGAATGTCCCCACTGACTAAAGAAGCAAAAATACAAGCCACGTTTATTGAGTAAGTCAGGTTTTCCTGCGTGTAAAACATTTGGTAACGAGGTTTTTCATAAATGTATTGGCTTACTTCTCTAAGTAGTAACGCAAACATAAATACACTAACTTCAAACAAACATAATACATGATAGTGACGCAGATCCTTAAAAATGCTTTTCTACAGAAAACAGATAAAAGAGAAAACACAGAGAACAAAATGTTCAAATTCAACAAATATTTCAAGTGACATACTGTCAGAAACTGTCAGATCTAAATCTGCCACACAATTCAAAGACGGTTCAGAGATTTTTACAGATGCTTTTATTTGGTTCATAGTACACATCTTTCTCTTTGCAGTGAAACTTTGAAATAGTCTGTTTATCTACTGCTCAATATTTATTTTATTTTTTCCCCAGGACAGTAGATCATTCTTTTTTTACGTTTTATTTATTTCCCAAAAGCCACTTCTCAAACTGTTTTGATCTTTCTACACTGCCAAATAACAATCTTCTGTATTTAGTTTCAGTCTCTTTTAAAGACTTACTGTTTTTGGGCTAAAACATTCTTATATACATAAAGACAGCCTTTAAAAAAGACTACTTATTTAAAGATGTGGCTTGGTTTTTATACTTCTCAGGCTCAAATAACGGCAAGTAGCCGTGAAAATGGTCAAATCCACATGTTTATCACACATGTTTGTATGTATTCATACTTTGTTTTTTGTTTTTAAATTTCTTAAAATGGAGATCTAGTTTCTGAAAAATTACCACTTTCATTTACACGCTGTACTAAGACTTAAAATATTAGGGCTATTTTTTCCTAACACAGAATACAAATACAAACATTTTGTTAACAAAACACTTTTTATTTTGTCTGTAACAGTTCATATGACAAAAATGTGTTCAATAACCGGTATATACTTCTCATGTTTAGTGCAAAGAGAACTTGATCCAGGTTTATGTTAGGGTTATACTGGGTTATACTGCACTGAAATAAGGTTTCGATTTAAACAAAAACATTTGCAAACTCTCGGCTGGTGTAAAGTTACAGATCCCTGTTGTTGCTGCTGAGCAGTTTGGGATAGGACGTGCCGATGGATTGCCCGTGCCGACAGACGACCAGCTCCAGCACGTACTCGTCCACTTTCACCACCACAGACGTCATCTTCTCAGTCGACATGAGGAAGATGATGGTGAAGAGAGCGACCTCAAACTCTGGACTGACACCAATGAAGGAGCCACCGACGGGCTTCACCAAGCCTTTCCAACTGAACTGCAGGTTCAGGACGTGGTCGTCCTCATCAGGCTTTAAAAACAGTAAATGCAATTCAGCGACATGTGCGGCTATTTACTTTTCAATCAGTGCTTTTACAGTAACGAGCTGCTGTATCAGTTTCTTACTGTGTCTTTGTTATCTCTTGCTTTGTAGCCTTTATAGTCCACATTGTCGTGCTTTTCCTGAAGGTAGAACTGCACCCAGTTGTGAAGACCCATGATCTCCTTTCCATATTTGGCTTCTCCCACAAACACATGTTCAAATCCACAGGAATCCTCACTGTAATGAAAATAAAACCAACCAGCACACCCAGAGATACTTAAGTTCAGTCTCTCAGTGCTGTATGACCTCATTCATATCTACAATGTTAACATTGGAAGGATAACAGCACCGATGGCAGCAGAGCCGGTGACTCACTTTTAACCCTCAAGTAACCAAGCCTCATTAACGACTAATTTATGAATGACTCCATTATATTTTATACAGGAAAACCTTTCTAATGGCTGTGTGTGATTATCATACCTATGCTGTTTTATTGTAATTAAAAAGATAAGTTAAAAAGCACAAACTGTAGGAAGAGATAAACTGTCACATCTTATAAAACAAATTTTCTTTGTTTCAGTGTAACTAGAAAAATAATACATTTTAAATATTAAACTAAACAAAGATTATAACCTCTGCACATTTGTACTCAACACTTCTCCTCCTAGTAACCTGTCATTGATCCAGGTGTTCAGAACTTTCAAAATTAAAAATTCAAGTAAAAAAATTAAAGAGTGAGTTATGTATTACAGTGTGTTAACATCATTTTAACACCCAAATGTAGATAATCTAGTGACTCTGATCAAGAAATTAGAATTAAGTTATCACACTCTGTTGTTCATCCTGTGGAACTGTGAAAATGAGATGAAAAAAAATAAAGATGACAATAATAACAAAGGCTATAATGTTACTGTATAATGTTAAATATCAGTCTTTTCATTGTGCTTGCTACATTGGGGCTAATTTCTGGAAGCATTTTTTATTTATGATTAAAAGTGTCACAAAAACAGATGTAAGTATTTGGCTGGAGTTACAAGGTTAACCTCAGGAAGATTTAAATACATGTAGTTTATTGTCAGCCTTTTCAGACAAAAGCAGCTGTTAATTAACACAGAAAAAAACAAAAAATAAACCCAAAACACATTCAGGGAACACTGTGTTTTATTTTTAGATTCTTCACTGATTCTTGAGTTGTGTTCTGCTCCAGACCTGGATCTCATTTAAGTTTGCCTCTAACCAATCATTCAAACCGGTCCCTTCCTTCTCTTTTAAACATTGCAGCAGCGCCCCCTGTTGTTACAGTTACTCACCCTCCGCTCCTGTCCCTGTGGTACAGGCGGAACCAGATGTCATACAGCTGTCTCTTGAACTGCCCAAGGTCTGATGGTGACTTCCCCTTCTTGACCAGATACTGGTGAGCACACTAAGAATAAAAACACAGTAACATACTTTGAAATTTCAGACATCCGAGTAAAAGATGTGACCTATCAATAGTATCGGAATAAACCTTCATTACATTAGAAAATTAATTCTTAGCCTTGAAAAAAAAAAAAAAGAGCAAAAAAACCCAAAAAACAGATCAATGCCTGGAATGAAAATTTGAGCCGGCATAGATCAAAAGATCAAAAGTGCCTGGAAAATAAAAAATACCCCCCCTCCCCCCAACGCAAACTTAAACACAACACTGAAGTTAAAGTAATGAGTCACAGGAAAATCTAATCTTACTATAATAAACTAATCTCTATTTGAACTCCTACACAATCTGGAGATGATAAACTAAACTTGACACACAGGTTCATCTTTGGCCCCAGAAGGTTCTTATCTATATCAGATATTCTAATGTCATTGTGTTGCCTGGCAACCACCGACCGACAGACTAAAATGACTCATCATTTATGTACCTATATAACATCTTATGAAATCATAGTATGGCATCATTTTTGTTTCATTACACAGTATCTGTTTTTTTATATACTCAGTGTTACATTACATCATTTGGGACATTAATTTATGAAGTCAAATTTCCTGTATTTAGAGACTACATTTAAAGTTTACTCTTGGATACATAACTTTATAAATGGTATCAAAAAGTGGCATTTCAATCCACGTGAATTAGTTAAGCCTACAAAAAAAAAAAACAGTTCATGCATTCTTGTCAGCTGTATATTATTGACATGCACATAAGGCATGTAAACTACAATGAAAATTATAAATCTTTTTTTTAATAAATGTGTGTCAAGCGAACAAAATTTTGCAGTTATAGTTAACAATTGTACAGTTTTCATTATACACTTAAAGTGTACTAACAGTGTCTGGCTGATGAGTGCAGAAGTTTATTTATTTTTTAGATAATTGTTCGTTGATGTGGTCCCTTGACTGTAAATTCATTATTCTGTATATAAGCATAAAACGACTTCCATATTGGTCTGCTGTTTATTTGTTTTTAACACACCTCTTTTTTACTTTTCTCTAACCAATCAGTAAACAACAGCTTAAATTATTTCTGAGCTCATGCCCTCCTATGAATCCGCTGTACCTTCATGACATCTGTCTCCACGATGGCATCGATAAAGAGCTTGTTCTCTTTGAGCTCTTCTGAGGTGACCGTCTCTGACACACCTGTAGACATCTCATAGTTGTCCAGCAAGCTGATGAAATCTGAATAAAAAGGTGTAACCTCATTAAACTGTTTAATCGCTGTTGTTCCAAATAAACATAATAAAGAAAACCTTTATAGGCCTGACTCATACTCACATTCATATGTCTTAATACTCTTCAGTTTGTCTTCATTCACATATGTGAAGAGTGGAGCTTTGGCCTGGTCTCTGGCAACATTACTGCCCTGAGCCACATAACCCGCCTTCCCCTAAATATAAAAACACAAACATTCAGCAACATGTTAAAACTGAACAAACAAATATGAGGATTCATAAATAATTGACATGTAAGCAGCTCATAAAAGCATCACCCAGTTTCAATGCTAAATACACTTAAGCAGCTGCTTGATGACGCCAACTTCACTAAACACACACACACAGCAACCTATAACTGAAAACACACACAATGGACAAAAACAAACAAATGGCCGACTGTACCCTCATACACACAATAATAACATGGACTGAACCACCACTCCACACCATTAGCACTTTATATAACCACTGTAGAAATTAGCCACACTGATCTAAACTGCACGACTGTAAATGCTGTATAGACAGGCATTCTGTACAATACAATAATTATAGTTCTACAACTGTTTACAACTGTATATAACTTGTATAGTTCACATTTCATATTTCTGTATAGTTTTCATATTTATATCCTGTTCATAGCTTGTACACTCACTACAGCCTGTACATACTTATAGTTATAGCATATTCATAACATACCTTCATACCTTGTACATTGTAACATACCCATAATAGACACATATTTTTCACCCTCATTCCTCTAATAGACCCATTTTTATATAATATATCTAT